TTCTGCACTTATTTGATGAAGCATCTAAAGGCCAAACCGTTAAGAAAGATGCAGATTTAATTTTGTGATGTAGTTTCATCTAGAAACTTGGTTTGTTTTCCTTCGCGTTTCTATGAATGACTTAATCCGTAAATAAGTGAAATTGTTTTTTTAAATCTTTTAATTTTCTCTGATTTGGTTGGCTAATAGGTAAACGGATACAACTCTACATGTTAATTTGCAAATAGGTGAAATACCTTCTTAAAATCTTTTAATTTTCTCTGCACTAAAATGTGGTTGACTTATTAGTAAACACATACAGCACTATGTAATGTCCCAAGATGCTTGTTGATTGATGATATCTTAGTTCTCATATTTGAGCATGGAAGTTATGGCTGAATAGTTAAAAAAAAAAGTGTATGTTAAAGAAGCAATGTAGGTTGAAATATTGATGCATTGTGATTTGAGTCCTTTTTTTTTTTCTTTTAGTGTGTACTTGTATTTTCTAGAACATAAGTTTTTGGAGGGAACTTTCTTTCTCTTTCTTTTGCAGGTTTTGATTGGTTGTCACCATGCCAGTTGCACCACAAATGTCATAGAGAAACATTACAGTCTCACTAGACTAGATCAGCGCATTGGGTGTCATTGTTGACATGTTACATATTGCGGTTTCTTGTGTGAGAAATGTGATCACGTGGGGAATTAATTCCTCGATCCAACATGCTGATGTAACCCATGTGTTAGTATTGCGCTCGATAATGGTCCAAGACTTGTGCGTACCATTAATGATAGATTGTGAGACAAGCTGTCTTTGAGTTGATTGTTGATAGATTTAATTGGTATTAAGGTATTAAAAATCTTTACTTGCTGAATGTTGAGGTGAGAATGGTGAGACAAGCTGTCTTTGAGTTGATTGTTGATAGATTTAATTGGTATTAAGGTATTAAAAATCTTTACTTGCTTAAGGTTGTGGTGAGAATTCTACGAGAGTATCCGAGCACGTGACGTTGATACTGGTAGAAAACTTGCAAGATGTGCCCTGGTGTCAGCTAGAGAATAGACTACTTAGCCGTATTGTATTATGGCCATGACTGTCTTGTTGTGTCTTTTACACAAATTTAATCAAACTTTGATCGGACATAAGTTTTTCGTTCGACTTTTCGTTGATGGATGTTTTCACCTACGGAAAGCTTGTAACTCAATATTTTGAATTAATCAAATTGGGAAATTTTTTTAAAAATCTTGATCGAACATAAGTTTTCCGTGTCACGTTCCATTAACTCGATATATGCATCTACGGAGGTCCGTGACCCAATGTTTTCAATTAATCAAATTGGGAAAAATTTTAAAAAATCATCATCTTCTTATTTTTTAGATAAATTTGACCAAATTTTGATTGGCCATAACTTTTCCATCCGACGTACCATTAACTCAATTTTGCATGTTGGGAAAAGCCCATGACCCATGTACATTTCTCAATAGATTGGCCATATGCATTTGAATAGAGAAGGATACAAATCTGAATCAAATACTCACCTCAGAGCTAATGAATGAACAACTGTTGCCGCTCCGGAGGAGGTCGGCTTTACGCCTAATGAGTTTCTAGTGGTCCTTGCCACACTGCTTTGCAAAGTGTGCCCATTTCTTTTCCTCTTCCAGTGATCTGAAAATGATCATCCTTAATATAACAGTAAACATGTTATACTTTAATCCTATTTTAAGGTTCTTTGGACATGCTGTGTTAAAGTGAAAAAGGTTAGATATCCAAGTTGGGTGTCCTTTGTTAAGGTTCTTTGCACATTGTATCGGAGTGACAAGGACTGTCTTTATCCCTACATAACTCCAATACATAACCTTCTGTTATTTGACAATGAATTTCATGCTTTTCACTTCAGAGGTAGGGACTTGGTTTATTCATCTTACTCCAATTTCAATTTCAAGTCTTCCATCCAGCAAGCTTCCAAGGCCTCATTTGGTTCACCTTATAAATTGGATTCTAAGGAATTGGAACCCTAATATGAGAATTTTCATATTGTGATAGAGACTTCATCTTGATAAAAGAACAAAAACATTGCAGGAATGAGTAATCCGATTGGGAGGTGAACCAAGTGATGCCCAGAAATTGGTTTATTTATTCTAAGATTAATACCACGAAAAACCTCAAACTAGTATACATGTTAATAAATTTATCTCAAACTAATTTTTTTATCACAAAAAATGCTAAACTGGTACACATGTAACAAATTTACCCTATGTTAGTTTCCGTTAAATTTTTTCGTCAAATTGTTGAGTTGGATGACATGTGGCAGTTGACGGGTATACCGGTTTGGGGTTTTGCCTCTTATCAATTTGTGATTTTTCGTGGTACTAATCCCATTTAATAGAGGGTAAATTTGTCACAAGTGTACAAATTTAGAGTTTTTGATGTCAAAAAATTTGTTAGGGGTAAATTTGTCATAGATACACCAGTTTGGATTTTTGGTGATCAAAAAATTAGTTTGGGGTAAATTTGTCACATGTGTACCGGTTTAAGATTTTTCGTGATATTAACCCTTTATTCTATAAATATTGTCTGTATAGACAAAATGGAAAATTAGTAATTTTATTTTATCTCTCACCCATCAGAATATTAATATTTGAATCTTATCATCCTACAACAAATCTTAAAATATCCTTTTCTTTCAATATATATTTATCAACAGTTTCCTTCCATCAATTATATTTAAAGAATCTTATAACAAACTTCTTAAAAAAGTTCAAATTTTATTATCTTAATCTTTACACATATATTTATATATTTTTTTGTGTGCAAAGTTTATCCTTTCAACAATTTCAATTCGATTTATAACTTATCGCGAAAATGTAATAGAGTTGAGTGCATTAGAAACCCTAAAGCTATGGCAATTCATAGCAGTGAGGTCGACTGATAGTGGTGAAGTCGATTAGTGGTAGTAATGATGTCATTGCGGAAGCGGTGGTGGCGGGGTACCTGAGCCTCCTAGTGGTGCTTTTAAATTTTAGCATTTTATCTTTTTAATTCTATTCTTTTATGTTTCTTTTTTACATTTTCATAATTTTTTTCCTGATGTGGTGCTGAGTGAATCAAGTACTTTTCGAAAGAGATAAAAAAAATTACTGGTTTGATTTTTTCGTTAGTCAAATCAAATGAATTAATAACGGAATTCATTCCACCAATTTGACATATTTTAATACTTGACTGCATTAATTGAAAGTTTTAGTATTTGATTGTACTTTTACGACAAATTTCAGGTTTTCTAGTACACTTATCTAAGGTGCTTCCACGTAAATTTTCAAATGTTATTTTTGTGCATGCATGCATTCATCACTAATCGCATTTTTTAGTGCCTAAAATAAAAAAAATATTATCTTCATTGGGATAATAACACAGATAGTCCATAAACTTTGGCCAATGTGCAATATGGTCCATGAAGTGTAGTTCAATGTGTAATGTGGTTCCTGAATTTTTACTTTTTTTCAATGTGATCCTTAAACTTTTGGTACATATTCAACTTATTCCCTAATCTATATGAAAATATTCAATATTATCCATGAACTTGAATTAATAGAATGACAATATTGAACAATTTCATATAATTCAGGGATTAAGTTGAATTAATAGAATGATAACATTGAACATTTTCATATAGTTCATGAATTAAATTGAACATATGCCAAAATTCCAGGGACTACATTAAAAAAATTAAAAGTTCAAAATATTCAATATTGTCCATGAATTTGAATTAATAGAATGACAATACTGAACAATTTCATATAATTCAGGGATTAAGTTGAATTAATAGAAGGATAATATTGAACATTTTCATATAGTTTAGGAATTAAGTTGAACATGTACCAAAATTCTAGGGACTATATTAAAAAAATTAAAAGTTCAAGAAACATATTCCTTATTGGGCTACAGTTCAGAGATCACATAAAATAAATTAAAAGTTTAGGGACCATTTATATAATTTTCCCATCCTAATTTTAGAGAATCCCGTCTTTCTTCATTTTTTGAGGGGATATGTGCACTAGAAGTCTTAAAACTTGTCATGAAAGTGCAATTAAATCCTAAAACTTATAAAAAGTGCAATGAAGTCATATAACTTGTCAAATTGATACAATCAAGTCCTTCTGTTCACTTCGTCCATTTAGACTAATGAAAAATACTGACGTGACTTTTTTTTAAATATTTTCTCTCCCAATGTGGCGATGACGTGGATTAAATTCTAATTTTTAAACCAAAATCTTGATTAAAAAAATACAAAAAAAGGAAAAAAAAACAAAAGGCAAGGGTGGTAAGGCCCGTCGCCCTTATCGACGTAAAGGGGGCCTTAGCTAGGGCCGGTGACCCTCGTTGACCGCAAGCAAGGGCCCAGCGACCTTTGGCCATATCGCACTGGGGGCTGATAATGCCTAGATTTGGGTGGAGGGCCGTGACCCTCGCCCAGAGCTAGGTGAGGGTCGCGAGGCTCTCATTAGCGATCAGAGAGGGTTGTCAGCCCTTGTTAAGCTCCTGCTAGCTCTTTCCAGTGATGGGACGGCGGCGGCGACAGGCCCTTGCCCCTAACTCCTTTTTTAAGTATTTTTTTTATTTTATTTAATGAAGATTTTGATTTAAAGAATTAGAATTTAATCCAAAACGAAGTTGTTTAAAATGTGTTATATGTTTTAGCCACGTATGAGAGGGAAAATATTAAAAAAAAGTGATAACGGCATTTTTCGTTAGTCTAAATGAAAGGAATTAAAGGAAGAACTCGATTGTATCAATTTGATAAGATGTAGGATTTGATTGCAGTTTTTGAAAGTTTTAGAACTCAACTGCACTTTCGTAATAAGTTTTAGGACTTCACGTGCATGTACCCTTTTCTAAGATACCATCGAGAACTCACTTTTTTCTTTGGAAAATATCGATGTAATAATAAATAAATTCATAAATTTTAAAGGTTACAAACCCGCCGTTCTCGAGCATTCGAACCAAAGAGAAGCTATGGAAGGATCCACAAGGAACCAAAGGCAAACGCAACAGAGAGAGAGAATCTAGAAAATGTCACAGCTTCACTTCCCCTTCCCTATCCCTCTGAAACGCCCTTCTCTCCACCTCCGCAGGCTGACCATGTCCTTCTCTTCCTCTTCTTCTTCCTCTTCTTCTTCTTCTCCTTCACCTTCGACGACCCACCTCAAGGACGACCCCGTCCTCGACGCTCAGAGCCTCTCGCTGGTCCTCACGTACCACGACCGGACCAAGCACGCCTTCACCAGCTACGCCAGAGGCCCCCGCGGCCTCGACTGGGCGAACCAGCCCAACCCATTTCGCCGCTACGCCCCCGCGCCACTCCTCCCTCTCCTCCACCTTCCCGCCGACGATCCGTCGCCGGGTCTCGACGGCCCTCCGTACTCCTCCCTGTTCCGTTCGCTCCCTCCCCCGGAACCCATCTCCAAGGCCACCGTCTCTCGGCTGTTCTACGACTCTCTCGCGCTCTCCGCCTGGAAGACCGCGGGATTCTCCACTTGGTCGCTCCGGGTTAACCCCAGCAGCGGCAATTTGCACCCGACCGAAGCTTACTTGATCGCCCCGGGCGTCGAGTCGCTGTCTGATTCGGGTTTCGTCGCCCATTACGCGCCGAAGGAGCATTCCCTGGAGGTAAGAGCCGCTTTGCCATCTGGGTTCTTTCCCAAGTTCTTTCCCGAGAATTCTTTCCTCGTCGGTCTGAGTTCCATCTTTTGGCGAGAGGCTTGGAAGTATGGAGAGCGAGCCTTTAGGTATTGTAATCATGATGTGGGTCATGCAATTGCTGCGGTTGCGATGGCGGCCGCGGGGCTTGGGTGGGACGTGAAGCTTCTCGATGGGTTGAGTCATGAGAATGTGAAGAGGCTGATGGGACTTCATGTTTTCCCCGAATTCGAAATCCCGTCTAGGCCTGTTAAGGGGAAGATGGTAGACATTGAATTTGAGCATCCAGATTGTGCACTAGTTGTTTTTCCTAGGGGAATTGGTGAATTCAATGTGAATTATAGGGAATTGAGCTCAGCTTTGTCGGAGTTTCCGAGATTGGAATGGAAGGGGAAGCCTAATGTGCTTAGCAAGGAGCATGTTTGTTGGGATATTATATATAGAACGGCTGAGGCTGCGAAGAAACCCTTGACGGCAGGGGATAGATTTTCCATTGATCCATTTTGTGAGAGTGATAGTCATAGCGAAAATTCGTACAAGGGATTTAGTGCTAGGGAAGTTGTAAGGAAGCGTAGAAGCGCAGTGGACATGGATGGAGTGACTGCAATGGATAGAGCCACATTTTATCAGATACTGTTGCATTGTGTTCCTTCGGGTTCTGGGAATGGAGGAAAGCAGAAGAAACAGCTGGCATTGCCATATCGAGCTCTTTCTTGGGATGCTGAGGTGCATGCTGCCTTGTTTGTTCACAGAGTGACCGGGTTACCGAAGGGTTTGTATTTCTTGGTGAGGAACGAAGATCATTTTGAGATGCTCAAGAAAGCTACGAGGCCTGACTTTGAGTGGGTGAGACCAGAGGGATGCCCTCCTAGTCTTCCTTTGTATCAACTTGCTAGAGGTGACTGTGAGCAGCTAGCAAAGCAGCTATCATGCCATCAGGCAAGTCAATCTTCCTAATATTTTGCTAACAATGAGTTTGAGCTATGTGATCAATGTTTGGCTCTTGAGGATCATATGTAAAAAATACTATTACATGGTAGATGTTAAGACTGGAGGAAGCCGGTACAGCTGAACTTTGGCTTATTCTCCTTTTCTTGTTGGCCCAAACCATATATCAAAGGACTATTCTTTTGCAAAGAATAGTTTGACAAACTTATCTGCCAGTAATATCAAACATCATGTGCTCAGAGTCTGATAAATGGGAAACATCAACATTTTGAGATGAGCGATCAGTTCTAAAGTAATATGAAACAAACATCTTACTTAACAGTTTATGTATCACCTCCCCGAAGAGCCATGTTTTTTCTCATGATGTTCCTTAGGTCGATGTGATTTAATTAACCATCAAGTGGCTTTTTGTTTATTCTGCTGAATCCTGTATTTTGAATGGCCTGTTTGGTCATTTTCCTGTGCAAGATAGTGTTTTGTGGTCAGCTTCTTTCAATTGCTTTTCCAATATTCGAGCATTTAGGATATTGCCGGCGATGGCTGCTTCAGCCTTGGAATGGTGGCTCATTTGGAGCCTGTGTTGAGTGACAAGGGCCCTTGGATGTATCCTCGGTTGTTTTGGGAAACTGGAGTGCTTGGCCAGATTTTGTATCTGGAAGCGCATGCTGTTGGCATATCTGCAACTGGAATCGGCTGCTTCTTCGATGATCCGGGTAAGCTGTGCCCCAACCTGCATTTTACATGCATTATGATAGTATTAGGATGTATTGTCCTTTCTGCGTTTCTTGGTTCCCAAATCAAAGAGTGTGATCTTGTAGACTGAGTTGCTATTATAATCCTCAACTAGAGCATCTAAAAAATACTTTTGAAGGATTATTGGTACGGCCAGATTGTGGCCAGACTTCTAAGATACGTCTTACTTATGATTACACTATGATTATGCCTCTGCTTTGTCATAGAGAACAGATTGTAGTGATGGGAAGTTGCTGGCAATGTTTTTAATAGCTGTTAAAGGACGAGGAGCTTGTTTGGGGCTGCTTTTTCCTGCCCATGTTCTGCTGTAGCTTGGCATCTAGATTATTATTATTAGTAAGGATTAAAAGAGGAGAGAACTACCTCACCAAAAAAAAAAAAAGAGAGGAGAGAACTAAAAGCCAAAATGAGTGGCTAGCGTATGATGAGGTGCTTTTAGAGTTGTGTTTATTGAAGCTTTGATGGAACATATTTTAATAAACTGGAATTGAAGATACAAACCTCTAATCATTTGCTAACTTGCTGAACATAGAATATTATAGCCACTGAGATGAGCCCTAAAGTTCTGTTTCCTGAAATGTAGTTACAACTTACATGGAAAGTTGCACTTGCTATGCCCTGATTATTTGCCAAAGATTTTGGCACCTGCAATGATGGTTAATGCTGTTTCTTGCCTGATCTTAGCATAGCAATTCCTTTCATCTTCTACTGATAGCCACTCGGAACATATTCTGTTCTGTCACAAGCCATCATCATATTTAGTGAAGTACTAGGCAGGGGAAATATTTTGAGTAACTAAAGTGGGAAGTACTTTTTGCCTTTCTGTTGAATTCCGAGAATGACTAATGGAGGCTACTGTGTCAATGCAATGAAAATGAATAGTAACCCGGAATGATTTTAGGCATATTTTATGCATGACACAGCTGATATATATTTGGGCCAAATCCCCCAAAATATCATGTTCCTATACTCGACGGACAGAAAGGGCCGACTTTTCAAATGTCCCCCCCCCCCCCCCCCCCACCCCCAAAAAAAAAAAGCTTGGACTTTAATTTGGCGGACGAAGAATGGCACCACTATATTTTCTTTCAAACGATCTCATGTGGCACCTGACGTGGCTAATGACGCTGAGGAGGCTCGACGATGTGACACTTTGTTGTTAAAAAAATAAACATAGCGATTTTGAAATCAATAGAAAATGATTGTCATTAATATATAAAGGAAAAAGCTAAGCAGGCCCCTTGCACAGCTTGGGCTTTGCTCTTGGAGATGCACGGCTGCCTCCGTGTGCACCACCATTGCAACTGTGACTGACCTCAGATCCGAGGTTTGTAGAGGTCGGCGATGGTTACTCCTCGGATCTAATCTAGATCAAGGTCGGCCACAGTCGCGCATAGTCACGATGGTGGTGCACATGGAGGCCGCCATAAATCTCCGGGAGCAAAGCCCAATTTGTTTGTGGGATCTGCTTTGCATTTTTCCTTTTTTTCTTAATGAAAATCATTTTCTTTTGATTTTAAGATCACTAATTTTAAATTTTTTAATAAAATGAGTCACGTCATCGTGCCACCTCAGTGTTGTTAGTCACATTAGGTGCCACATAGTATTATTTGGACGGAAAATATAACAGTGGCCATTATTGTCCCCTATGTGAAAGTTCATGCCTTTTTTTGGGTAATTGGAAAAGTGGGGCCATTTTTGTCTGTATGGGTATTAGTACATGAACTGTTTTTTTATGGGATTTGGCCAATGTGATTGTGTGTCAAGAGTCTTTCACATACAAAGTGTAGAAGATATAGCATGATAAGTCTGGTGATTTATGAGTATCACCCAAAGTGTATACATGTATGTGGGAGATGCGATTTAGATAACAGACAGGCGCGTGCAGTGGAACACCATGGACATCTGATCATGTCTATGTTACTTCTGCTAATCCTGTATTGGCGGAGCCTTGTATTTAAATTTCTGTTATTGCTTAAAAGAGGGAGGCTGCCTCGGTTAGGTCACGCATAATATTCTGGAATAAAGTCCAATTACATGTTCTTCTTCTGGGTAATAGCACAATATGATGCAACTATAAATAGTGGCATTGTCATATGTCCATTATGAGTGGGCTAACGAGTCACAAAAGATTCAGCTTATTGGAGTGTAGGAAAAAACTCAACTCCTCTTGTACTTGGGTGTTTTGACTTAGGATCAAATTTATCAGTCTGCTTTAAACAAGACTCTATCAGGTTCAACGCGGACAGAGAGTGAACCCTAGAATTTTTCATAGTCAAGAGTAACAAAAGATGGACCTTTGTTGTATTGGGGCACTGTTAGAATATTTAAATATTGAATCACGTATTCATTTATCAGTTTAAGCTTTTAAAATAGTTGGCAGTGGTCTCACAAAATCTCCCATGGTATCAGAGTAGGAGGTCCTGAGTGCAAATCTTTCCAGGCCTCAATTTGTCTCCCCAATGAAATGTTTCCACGACTAGTACTAGTCAAAAAGATTAGACTAAGCGTAAGGGGGAGTGTTATAATATTTAAATATTAAACTACGCATTTATTTAACAGCTTAAACTTTTAGAATAGTTGGTAGTGGTTTCACAAAATCTCACAGGCACAAATAAGATGGGGACTGTCTCCCACAATCTATGTCTGTTATCGAAACTGTATGCGGGGATAAATTGATGCCAGACATCAATTGAAAAAGTTTGTTTTGGATGATTCAGGGAACTTTATTTATTGTTTTATTGAACTGCGGATGAACAATTATAAGCCTCCTCCTATCATTATTTTCAGAGTTAAATTAGTTGTTTTTTTTTTCATCGACCCTATTTTTTTTTCTTGCATCTTAGCTGTTCCAATTGGGTAACATTGCATGCGCGATTAACTTGTCTTTGCAGTGCACGAACTTCTTGGTCTTAAAGGGTTGAACTTCCAAAGCTTGTACCATTTCACAGTGGGAGGCCCAGTTCTTGACAAGAGAATAATGAGCTTACCAGCTTATCCTGGACCCAAGGTTGATGCATAATTGTGTTTACATGAACTCTCAACAAGATTCCAAGGATCCATATGGACGAGTTTTATTGATGTCCAAGGTATTTGTAAATTTTTTCCGTTTGTATTACAATATTCTAGGCTAGGCTTACACTGAGTCCTTTCATGTACATAGGCATCTCCAGGAGCACGGTTATTTGTATTTAATTGGATTAGCTAATAGACAGTAGTCGAATCCAGATATAGGGGAATTAAAGACATCAAGAGAAAGATAAATAATCAGAGATACATAGACATCGTCATATTTTATGTGCAGCTACTTGTCTGTTGTTAGTGTCGCAACCTGGTTTCTCAGGCTCCTCGATAACTTTCATATTGAGCCTCGTGTTTCTCATGAAGTTCAGTTGCCCCAAGGGACACTGAGGATGAGTCTTTCTTCGCTCTTAATCTATTATAGAAAGATCTGAGCTTCTTAGGCTTTTTGCATGTTCTTCTGTCCAAGGGATTTTTGTAATCCCTGACCTTTCCCTCACCTCTGGTGGTTCACATGAACCGAAGTTGACTTCACGCAAATGTGACCCCTTTTTTAACCCCCTGTACCTATTTTCACTTTTTTTTTTATTTGGGTTTCCTTTGATAGTTTATTGAGAGGAGGGAAGAAAAAAGCAGACTTTAAGCTCACTGCCCATAGTCTTTCTAGTCTCATTTCTGTGATCCAATGGGTTACGGAACCTGAAGGGGAGAAACAGTATATAGACTAAACAACGCTCCGAGCTGGCATGGGTGGGGACTTGATCCCTGGCAACAGAACCGGCTCGCAGCTTTCTGAAACATTATCGATCAAGATGATTGGAAAAAAAAAAAAAAGGAAAATAAACTTTGGAGCCGCTGGTGTGTATCTTGCTGGATGCTTTCACAAGTCCCTGCGTCGAAACGAACTGGACTCTGGAACTTGGAGCAGTCTCTGGAATTGAGAAATTTTTATTACCAAGAGTTGCATCAAAGCTTTCTTGGTGTTGCTGCATGAGTCTGCTGATCCCTAGAATAGTCCTCGGACACAATCATCTGTCGGACTGGAACATTTCACACGTGATAACGCTGGATCCGACATCCTTAGAGGCCATGGTCGATTTTTTCATTACTATAAACTATGATGTGCATCTGTCTTGGTCAATTTTGTTTATTAATACAAACTGTAATGTGGCTCTGTATATGAGCTTTTTTCCTGCTATGCGCCCGTGTGATTCTTGCTATGATCCTGATCCGATGATTCTGTAGGGATAGCTTACCATGCGCAAACCTGAGGAACATGCTCAGGAGTTCATTGTGGGGGCAAAAAGAGCCAGTTCATTAAACTAAATAAAAATGAAGTGAAAGAATCATACCCTTTGTCCCGGAGCCATGTAATATCACGTCATATGCTGATGCGAGTGCTGCTCTGTTGGCCAGGAAGTACCTGATAGTTGAGATTATTGGTATTCAATAATTTAAGTCTACCACATCAAGCCAATCGCATTTCAAGAATATATGAGACACGCACATGATCCTGTTAAATAAACACTAATTTCCATACATTTCTCAGTAATGTTATCGGTTCTATTTGTGACGGTATCCCCAGTGTTCACTTGAGGTGCGTTCCCGGTGTGCAGCAGGATAAGCGGAAACAACTCCAAAAGCCTATTGGGGAATAAATTGTTACGAATACGATACAGTCGTTGCTCATCACATCTTTCAGGAAATTTCTAGGCGGCGGGCGTGGCTCAAGGTTGGAGGGAGTCCCCGTGATTTGGACATTCATATCGAACCTGACTCATTCGAACCAAAGTCCTCAATTACTCAGCTTACCCTTTTTACCCTCACATGCACACCGAGTGTAAATCACGAGTCCGCCCGATTCGAATCCGTCTGATAAGCCGGTTTCGATTTCAGTGCATCTCACTCAAAACATCACATGAGGGAGGTGCCTCACCTTGCAGACGAACCATCTTTTTATAATTCCTCATTCAAACCCCCCCTCAATAATTGCACGAATGATTACATTATTTCGCGCCTAATGTTGGCCAAATGCAATTTGGTGAGACAAAGCAACCGCGCGCATCGCCGGGCCCTCCTTTATCACCGTCCATCTTCCATCCGACGGCCGAGGACGCCCCAACTCTCTCAATATTCTAATCAAAGTCAACATTCCTGGATCGTGTCTGGAAGCTATTTGGTTCCTTGATCCGATCCATTAGGCAACATAAAGAAGAAAAAGTAAGCTCATCGGGCGGTCGGTAGTATCTAATCTGGTCAAAGGGCTATTGTTTTGGTCAAAATCGAAGGGCTATTTGATAGCTATGAACTTATGAAGCGTAAACTCCCTGGAAAGTTGACCAACATACTGCAACGTGGTCTTTGCCCAGAAAAATATTGATGATTCTTGCTCAAAACCCGCTTAACTTTGACACCTTTGCATAGTAGCCTCCAAGCTTTAAAAAATTATGAACTACCCCCTTGATACTTTGAAAAGTTATAAAGTAGCCCCTAAACTTTGATATGTGTTCCAAGTTGCAACCCTTAGTTTTTCCATCTACGCAGCCATTAAGTGTTACCTGAAATGAATTAACTCTCGTTTTCATTACCAGAATAATCTCTATTACATGGTTGATAAAGCCAAGGAAGTAGAGAGTGACGCATGGCTTATGAAGTTAAGGAAATCTAATAGAGGTTGGAAAAGTTAGTGACTGCAGCAATAATTAAAATCTAGAGCATAATCGGCGACTTTTCAGAGTACGTGGGTTGATATGCAAAGGCGCCAAAGTTTAGGGCTTAATTTGCAAAACTTTTCAAAACTTGGAGATTATTTCCATGGTTGCCAAAGTAAGGGAGTTTTAAGCAATTATTCCTAAATAAATTTCTATATTGAATATATATTATGAAAGGTTGAGTGTGGGGAAACAAGAGAGCAACTAGCAATCCAGCTATCTGAATTTGCAGTGCAATGAAGTATGGGGCTTCTTTGCGAGATTCCCACTTCATGCTAAAATTAAAAAAAAATTGTATCCGGGGTTGGATCGACGTGGCCTCTATTACATAGTAATTGACCAAAGAAACTTACAACATTGGAAGTAAATAATGACGCTCGTTGGAGATGTAGATGTTTCTGAAAATACTATTATTGGAAAATAGAAAATAATTGTAGCGTAACGTATATTTTGATCGAACAATCCTGATCGAGTGCCCGAGCGATCGAATAAAAACAATTCGTCGATAACTCATGAGTGCAAACACATGTCATGAGGTTAAAACCGTTCACGAGAACGAAATTTCATGTTGTCAACGTACAAAACATTGTCATTTTTAATGTATTATGTAACCCTAGATTGTAAAGATCAATGACAAACGAAAAGCAATTCTTGCATTTCGTGTGGCTCAAAACCATCCTTATTGTCGGAGCTTTCCTTCCACGAGGGCACGCAAAAATTAAACTATCTCCAATCTGAGATTGCACGTAAATCGCACGTTGAAATCAATACCAGGAAGCCAAGTATGCATGAGACCACCTCTCCAAATCCTTCTATATAAACTCCTTGGCCCCATGAAAGTTTCAGCAGGTCAAAAAAGTTTAGTGCTCCTGCAAAAGCAACCTTCTCGATCATAAAAAGCCATGGCAAAGCTGAGCCTTCCATTGCTACTCTTCTCCCTCATTTGCGTTTCGACCTTAGTGGCGCCGGCGCTCGCGAGGCCTTCACCCTCCCAAGCCTACATAGAGAGGTCGTGCCACGGGACCCTGTACCCCAAGCTGTGCATCCAGTGCCTCTCCGGCTACGCCAACGACTCCATCGAGAGCCCGCAACAGGTCGCCCAAGCCGCCCTCACCGTGAGCCTCTACAAGGCCTTGTACACGAGGGCCTACATGGTCAAAGTGGCCAAGGACCTCGAGGAGATGAAGGCCCAAGACTACCAGCCTGTCAAGGACTGCCTGGACCAGATTGACAATGGCATCGACCAGCTCACGCAGTCAATCAGGGAGCTGCGGCGGCTCGGCCAAGAGAACGTGGGCGACAACTTCTACTGGCACATCAGCAACGTGGAGTCCTGGGTGAGCGCCGCCCTCACTGACGCCACAACCTGCCTCGATGAGCTCCCCCCGGGGAATCGGATGAGTAAGACCAAGGCCGTGCTCAAGGGGAAGGTCCTGAACATGGCCATGACCACTAGCAATGCCTTGGCCTTGTTCCACAGATTCGCGGCCACATACGGGGTTCGAGCCACCACGAAGCCGTGAGGGCTAATTGAAAAAAGCTAGAGAAGTGTTTTGAGCATGAAGCGTTCATCTATTTTTTCAATCTTTTTTTACTCATCATATGTTTGTTGGGTTGTCGCTTGTAATCCAAAAATTGTATATCAAACAGATCGTATGAATTCTCATGAAAAGCATGTGAATATATGTCAGTTTTTGTCCTCCACTTTGCATCGAATATAAAGTATAAATATATTGAAATAGAATCAATCCATAGTTTCAGTTTATAGCCATTTTACATGGCTTCCATGCTCTATCCTGCAAGGAAAAAATTAAGAGTACTAGAAAAGAAAGGAGTTCTTCCATGTCTGTATCTTTGGATTATGCAAAAATCAGGAAGGAGGAGGTCTGTCATCAGTAATTCACAAGGTTTTGAAATACTTAGGGTCAGACGAGTTAGTTTTTTCTTCAGTCATTCATGAGATTTCGAAATACTTAGGGTTAGATGAGTTTGATAAATTGCCCAATCATAAGAATATTCCATTAACCTCATAGACAAGGTGAAATGTGAGCCGAAACTCAGGTGGATCATGTTAATGACCTAAACACGAGACCGGTCATCTTCAAGAGTATATGAAATCGAATCTGTGTCGTGTGCCTAATCTACTCTTATAAAAGTTCGTTTAAATTGGCAAGCCGGGCCGAATTCATGCAAAGCGTCCCAATTTATGTTTCATATATGTACGAATCATTATTTTTCCAATAGATGGCTTCTAATAAAAGTGGCTTGCATGATTACAATCCAAATAAAACTATGTTTCACATATTCCAGCATAGTATGTTTCAGGTTCAAAGGCACACATGAATATCCGTTTGCGATTCACTTTCAAGCTTTCTATATTATGATCGAGAAATATATTTTTTTTTTCTTTGCAACTTTTTCCCTCATTGCGTATTCAAGTCTCAAACATGTGAGAAAGCTTGCTAGCTAGGGCAACTAGTACATGACATAAGCTTATATTAGGGCAAGTGCAACAAGCTTCTCCCACATTTCAAGCCGAAAGTAACAATACATGCTCAACCAGTTAAAGCAATACGTATGGACTAATCAAAAACTTTTGGTCACCGTACTTTGTCTCAAATTACTTCATCTCAAGATAAATTTGGTCCTTAAGCTAATCTTCGATCTCTTCGGCTAAATTTCTGCCCAAATATCGGGTAAATTGTTGACTAAGCGCCAAAAAAATGAACATGTGGCATTGACGTGGAATAAAAAATTAAAGTTCGAGGGAAACTACGAAGGCAATGTGGGTTGGTGCATGAATTGAGATAATAGATTCACAGCAAAGGCAATGTCAGGTCTTGTTCAGAGATAAGTACTGAAGATTACGAAAACACTTGGCAATAAATGGCATCTGTGAGAGGTGAACAGTCATGAAGAGGTAATTCACCACTAGTAGATAATGGTGTGGCAACTTCCTTAGCAGCAAGCATGTCGATTCGAGTAAGAATGTCACTGATGTACCTATGCCGGGTATAACTTCGACACCCAGAAAATGGCGCAGGTCCCCAAGCTTCTTATGTGAGAAACGACCTGAAAGGACTTGCACGAAATTTGTGATGGAGGAATTTTTGCTGCTTGTCAAAGATTAGATCCCCAACGTAGACAAGAAATTATGCAGTGATGCCGTTCTGGGGATAAATGAAGAGTGACGGATCAGATGTTTACTGATTAATTCCAAATGAGATCAGAAAAGGGCTAAGGGTCTGATACCGAGCCTGACGAGCCTGTTTGAGGCCATAGATGCCTTTCTTAAGTCTGCATATGTGATCTGGATGAGCATTGTCAACAAAACCTGGGGTTGTTGCATGTAGACTTTCTCTTCGAGATTGCCGCGCAGAAATGGATTGTTCACGTCCAATTGGCGAAGAGACCATCCATGTGTGACGACAAGAGCAAGGACAATGGTGATGGTGGTAGGTTTGATCAGAGGACTATGTGTCATGGTATTCAAGCTAGGCCAGCGATCGATGCGTGCATCTAGATGCCTCTTGACACAAAAAACGCATTTCCAACTGACTACACTATGATGTGGTGTATGACGAACTAGGGTGCATTTGGTTAAGCATTCTCAAGAGGTTTTGGGGCTCCAAAACCCTTGACCAAATGCAAATGTGACATTTGACAAATTTTTTGGATAACTTTGAGGAAATGAGGCAAATCCGGACGCCTTTGGAAAGTAGCATTATCAGATCGCACAACCTGGGCAATTGCCGCTTGGGGGTTGCACGATGAGGCCTGAGGTCCCGTGACCTCAAGCATCGCCTGGGTAAGGCGACCTGGGCGATCGTCAACCTAAGTTGCGCAAACCCAAGCTGATAGTCGCCCATAGGCGAGGCTGGCCGGCGGTCGATTTGACCCGCTGGTAGCTTAGTTTTGCTAGCAAACAGTTTGAGATTTTTTTTAAAATAAAAATTAGCAAGTCCTTTACAAAGTGTAGTTATTACCAAATAACGTTTAAGTCAAAGTTGCTTTCCAATGCGTTTTTTAAATACACTTGACCAAAAACTATTTTCATTTTGAAAAACCCTTTTAGTCCAAAGGCTTTTACATTTTCCCAAAGACATCCACAAAACAGAACCAAATTGATTCTACATTTCTAAGGGGTTTTGGGAAAACGCAAAGCAGTTTAGCCAAAAAGGTTTTGGGGAAATGCAAAAAGCATTTAGTAAACTCTGCTTTGAGATCCAACTTTGAGAGAAAAGCTATTTCGTAAAGTCCTTTTGGGTGATTAATCTAAGCTTTTTAATTTTTAATTGGTTTAAAATTGAAAAAAAATTATGGTCCTTGTCTGTATCGAGCTTTTAACCTTCCCAAGACCAGCTTTTATCCTAAAGCCTCTTGAGGAATAGCTGTCAAACATCCCAAATTTCGCAGGGAACTTTCAAAATGTTGAACCAAATGCACCCGAGTGAAGGTGTGGTAGACCCTGGTAAAGAAGAAATCTCAAGATTTTCTCAGGTTTGGAGAGTTTCAAGCATGGAGGCTCGTCCAATAGAGACTTGAGGAGAATTGACTGCACGTGGGCCGACCAGTTGCTGAAATTTCATTTGAAGACGAGTTGGCGTCGGAGGGGTTGTGATGGAAGACGATGAAGGCAAAGACTTGATGATGGGAAGTGTCTGCATGCAAGGAATATTGACCATCGTCAGAGTAGATGGACAAAATGGAAGTTTGGACATAATTTTCGACCATCCTTTTTGAACGTAGGAAAACCGAGAAGAAATGTCAGAATTTTGCTTGATGAGATAAAACCAAATGTATTTTGTATAGTGATAAACAAAGATTACATGATAGTCAAACATAACCTATCGACTGACTTCATTTTGAAAAGGATGCCACACATTAGTATAGATCAGATAAAGAGGTCCGCGACTAGACAAACTCGAAACATTGAATGGAAGAGGATGACTTTTATTACACCGACATGACTCACATCAAGAACTTGTGCTACAGTCTGAATAAACGCCTGAAGAACTAGACTTCAGAAGATGCCTTTCAAAGTATTTGGAGAAGCGGCGACGGAGTCGTTTATGCCATTGAGTTGGGGACATGCGAACACCGGTCATGGCTAGAGATCGAGAACTCGACAGGCGAACGGATAATGCCATCTTGTAAACATCATTTTCTAATCAGGCCTCGGGTTAGACTCGCCCCGTGTGTAGATCCTTCTCAAGAAAGCAAATCGGGGAAGAATTCAATAGAGGTTTGGTTAGTCCTATAGAATTTAGAGAGAAATTAAATTCTTTTGGAATGGAAGGAACACAGAGCATTTGATGAGGAAAAAGAGGACGCGGGTGATATCAAAGTGGTTGAACCAGTGTCGGGAAATTCCTCAAACCTGACCCACCTCCGATCACGATTTCATCAGGCTCTTCATAGTCAGAATGAATGAATAGATTCCGCAGATCCGACGTCACGTGACGAGACGCACCAGATTACACAAACGGACCCTGACCGACGTCACGTGACGAGACGCACCAGATTCCACGAACCGGCCCTGACCGAAGCACGGTTTGATGTGCAAAGTCAAGTCATCCTCATTAATCGGGTTGTTGATAATGCTAAATTTACCTGCAACACTTCTCATTAGTTGAAGATACTCCCCCGCACAGAACGGTTCTCGCATTTGGTTTTGGAGGGCGAGGCGCTCCTTAGGACTCATAATGCGCGAACGGGTCTTGTTGGTGAACCATCAAAAGATGTTTCGGTGGAGGCAATGAAGGGCATCAAAGAGTCCGAAGCGGAAGTGATGATCACATGGAGTAGCAATTGGCCTTGCCGAAGCCAGTGCCGATGAGCCGGGTTACAGTTACTCCTAAATTCATGTTACAATAACAGTACCGCAAAGACTTCCTCAATCAGCGTAACATCCCAAGATTTAAGCATCGGGATTCTTGCTTAGCTTGGTTGGTTGCCTAATGTGGGGGAGTGATAGGACTTCATAACTGCTGGAGATTGATTCTCACCTTTAGCAGCTGCACGACGCTGAGCTGCTCGGAGGTTGCTTACGACCTAAATCGAACTTCGGACCTCGTAATTGATAGCTGACCCTTTTACCATTAGGCCAAATGCTGCCAATCACCTCCCACAGACTATTTTCGGAATCAAATAGATGCATTATATTCATTCAAGATTGTATTTACACTCCTCTAAAACCTACTAGCGCTGCAAGGCTAAAACAATGATCAAATAGAAGAGAGCAATTCACAATCTACATGCACTGTCGTCATCATCATATATAGTTGATGCTCAATGTCTCCAGATCCTTCCCCGAAGTTGCCTCTTCCAAGTGCTCCTCTGGCCACAGTAGCCGGCGGCGGCGACTCGGCTCTTCACTTTCTCAAACTCTGAAACCTCGCATGGTATAGTGATTCCTCCTCCTTGGTGACTAAACCCGAACTCCTCCTTGGCTTCTCTCAGTATATCCCCGAACAATGGGTGATTGAAGTAAACCACAGGCACTAAAACTCGGTGGAGTTCGCCGCTCCTTCGACCCACGTACACAGCCAAGTGGCCCTTAGGCACCGTCTTACCTGAGCCGACGGGCTTGCCCAAGCAGAAAGGCTTGGTCCTCTTGCTTGTCAGGCAGCGACACCAGGAGAGGAGCTTCGACATGGGACTGGTGGTGCGTGGCCCCGATGGCGATGCACCCAGGCGGCAGTAATCTCGGGAGGGGCTTCGTGGCCGGCCCGCGACCCACTTGGAGACCCAGAAGAGGTGCTTCTTGAGGCTGAAGCCTCTCGTCCTGTTGTTCCCCATGATCACGACTACTAAACCTGCACGGATGTCGCCCGTGCCCTCGACTATCAAGAAAGAAGCAAATTTGAGCGGAACGAAAGTGCAGGGTTCTTCGAGCGCGCGAGAGTATAACAAGCCGAGGAGCGGATGCCGTTAAGAGAACGGTCATGGGTTGGGTACCGACATGGCTACGCGGGAGGCCGTGAGGGATGACTCGGAGAGAGCGGTGGGAACGTTGGACATGGCTTTCTTGATGATGAAATTGAAGAAAGACGATGGTGTGAAGTTGGTGTTGAGATCGTGTTATATATAGCTGTTCTTTATCTAGGGAAAGATATCTATAAGTACAAAACAAGAAACTACCAGATAAATTTGTACATAGTCAATGGGAATAGATAGGAGAAGCTTCCGTCCCTTTGGAAAAACTAGGTCACGCGGAAAGTAGTAGAAAAATTGTGGAATTGGGTCCCCTTCCAGGATATCTGGAGGAGGCAGCTACGTTCTCCTAAATTCATTTACCAAAATTGAAATTTTGTAGAGTTGAAAATTCAAATTTAGGTGATGTTCACATTCTTTTTTTGTATTGTTGATCTTCAAGATAACTTCAAGATGTGATGATTTATCTTAAAGACGTGGGTTTAGGCCTTGAGGAACAAGTTGATAACCTTAGCAAAAAGAAAATTATTCAAAACATGGATTCGTATCCAAAATCCAAGTTATTTGACATATTCATACTAATAGCATTAAATTTTGAAAAGGCCAATATTTCGTATTTCGAACGATTATCACGTGTACATATTGATGTACATCAAAAGAAGAAATAAATATATACTCGAAAATTGTGCAATCTTCGAGGATATATTTCGAATTCGAGTGTTTTTGAACTATACCCATTAGATCTCTTTTCATGATTGGTATCTAAGAAGGTAACTTTAAAACTCCTAAATTATTATGGTACAAACACTATGGTTGAGAATACTAATCTCAGTGTATGTGTCAAACGGTATGTGCACTTGGTCTATCGTAATATTTTGGTAAACGAGTAGGTTCCTAAACAAATAAAAAGAATCACGACAATATAGTTTAAATCAAATAAACAAGAATCGACCTAGTAATTGAGAACCTTTTCTGATTTCACCACGTTTCAATTTCCATAGGGGAGGATACCGATTGTCGTCAAATTGGACTGCAGTGACAATGACATTGGTCTAAGGAACCAAGGTCTTATGGAATATTCTTTACAAAATAGCTAGCAAATCATATAATTAATTTGGGGAGAAACTGTTGAGAAACTGCCGAGTCGGTGGTACCAACAAAGTAATATCCCAAAATTTAAGCACCAGAACTATTCTTGCTTTGACTTGGTCGTTTTTGACAATTGCTGGAGATTGATTCGTACCTTTAGCAGCTTAAGCAACACGGAGCTTTTCAGGGGATCGCCCACGACATAAATCGAACTCGTGACCTCATAACTAATGGTTAACCCTTTTATCATTAGGCCAATGTCGCCAACAATCTCCCACAAACTATTTCACGGACAAACGCTTTATCAAAATGGTTTTGTGTCGGTAAAAATAGAAAAATCGGTATAACAATTGTCTTCCCATAATCAATTCGGATAATCACGCTTCGATATTTTTTAAGCTCTTACAGGTTATCTTTACAATAATAATAGCAATTTTCAAATCAAATATATGCATGATATTCATTCAAGATTGCATTTAAACTCCACTAGAATGTACTTCCAAAGTAAAATCTCAAAACTGGTACACATCTGACAAATTTACCAGAAACTAATTTTTTGACCACAAAAAACCCCAAATTAATATATTTGTGATAAATTTACCCTCCGTTAGTTTTCATTAAATTTTATCATTAAATTGATGAGTTAGATGACACATGACAGTTGACGGGTATACCAGTCTGGGGTTTTACCAATCTATTTATCAAATGTTTACCAATTTGTGTTTTTTCGTGGTATTAATTCAATTTAACAGAGGATAAATTTGTTACAAGTATACCAGTTTGGGGTTATTGACGGTCAAAAAATTTGTTTGAGATAAATTTGTCACATGTGTATCGGTTTGGGGTCTTTGATGGTCAAAAAATTAGTTCGGGGAATCACAGGTTTACCAGTTTGGGATTTTTCGTGATATTAATCTAAAAATAAATAAATTGACATGATATTATGTACATAGTCATTGGAAAAAGAAAGGAGAAGCTTCTTCCCTCTGGACAAAGTAGTTCACGCGGAAAGTAGTAGAAATAGTATGGAATTCGGTCTTCTTCAAGTTTAAGTGATATCGACATTCAAGTTTATGCACATCAAAAAGAGAAATAAGGAATACTCAAAAGGTGCGTGATGTCAGTGAGTGTAATTTATTAAGAAAAATTCAGGTGTTTTTCTTTTAACCTTGACTAAACAAGAATCTGACCTAGTAAAGAAGGACCTTTTCTGATGTTTACCACGCTTCAATTCTCATAGAGCATTCCACTTATCTTCTAATTGGACTGCACTGACAATGACATTAGTTTGAGGAACCAAGGTCGGGCAGAATATTTTTTACAAAATTTCTAGCTAATGATATCATATATTGAAGAGAAATTGTCCAGAGACTGCAGAGTCACATGGTCAGACAGAAAGGTAATATCTTGCTTAACTTGGTTGGCTTCCTAATGGGGGGTATTGGTCTTTGGACTTGACATTTGCTGGAGATTGATTCCCACCTTTAGTAGTTAGGAGGACTCGACCCGTTACGATGTGAATCGAATTCGTGATTTTATGATTGATAACTGACCCCTTTATCGTAGACTGACATCGCCGCCGGTGCCACGGCCTCTCGCAAACTATTTCACGAGCCCCACTTCATCAAAGTATATTTACTTGGGCAGAACAAAAAAATCGGTGCAAGTTATTATACCATAATTAACTGGGATCGTTGCGCTTCGCCATAATTAATATTGATGTTTTTTAAAGTTTTTTTATAATAAGAAAAATAAACTGCTTTGAAATCAGATATATGCATGATATTTAATTCAAGATTGCATTGGAACTCCACTAAAATGAATTTCCAAAGAAAATCCACCACTAAAAGTCTAAAATGATGATCAAATAGGAGAGCACTTTGAAATACCGGGAAAAGTACCAAAATAGTTATAAACTTATTACATTGATACTAAATATGCACTGAATCTTTCAATTAGATCAATTTGTCCTAAACATCTTCACGTTTTGCCGATTGAGTCTATCCGACTAATTTAGGTTGGAAATTGTTAATGTGGACGCCGGCTATCCGACGTGGCACGAGTGACGCTGAGGTGGACAAATGTTTTTTATAATTTTTGAATTTTTTTTCTGCCATGCTAAACACATCCCAAAAAAATCATTTAAATGCGGGAAGAAGAATTTCAGAAAGTAATACCAGAAGAATAAAGATCGAAATTTTCTACAAAAATCCCAACGATCTTCATCACAATTCAAGATATACATTTATTATCAGTCAGGAGAATATATTATTTATCGTCATCATCGTAAATGGTTGATGCTCAGAGTCCCCAGATCCTTCCTCGTAGGTGCTTCTTCCAAGTGCTCCTCCGGCCACCATAACCCGCGGCGGCGACCCGGCTCTTCACCCTCTCAAACTCCGAAACCTCGCAAGGAATAGTGATCCCTCCTCCTCGGTGGCCAAACCCGAACTCCTCCTCGGCTTCTCTCAACAAGTCCCCGAACAGCGGGTGATTGAAGTAAACCACAGGCACTAAAACTCGGCGAAATTCGCCGCTTCTTCGACCCACGAACACAGCCAAGTGGCCCTTAGGCACCGTCGTCACCATGGATCTTTCCTTAACTGGGTCTTGACCCACGAGCTTGCCGCCGGACCCAACAGGATTGCCTGAGCATAAAAACTTGGTCCTCTTGCGTTTCAGGCCGCGACAACAGGAGAGGAGCTTCGACACAGGATTGAGCGTGCATGGCCCTGATGGGGCTGCGCCGAGACGGCTGTAGCCTTGGGAGGGGCTCCCGGTCCGGCCCTCGATCCACTTGGAGACCTGGAAGAGGTGCTTGTTGAGGCTGAAGCCTCTTGGCTCCTCGTTCCTCATGATCTTGACTAGGATGTCACCCGTGCCCTCGACTATCAAGAAAGAAGCAAATTTGAGTGGATGAACGCGAAAAAAAGCTTAACGAAAGCGTAGGGTATCTCGACGGCCCGGGAGAGTTTGACTCGCGGAGGAGCGGATGTGGTCAAGAGAACGGCCACGGGTCGGCGACGGACATGGCGAGGCGGGAAGGGAGGATTCGGAGAGAGAGGCGGGAATGTTGGACATGGCTAATTTCTTTATAAGCTGTGTTTTGTGAGGGATGAATTGCACCTTTTGCAGGGGTCATGAAGGAGGTTGTTTATATATATAGGGAAAGGAAATCTGAACATATAATTATCAAATCTGAACATATAGTTAATTAAATGATAATTAGTACATAGTCAATTGAAAAGGAAAGGAGAAGCTTCGTCCCTTTGGAAAAAAGGTAGTTCACGCGGAAAGATGTAGAAATAGGGGATATGTTTGTTAGAAGTCCTAAAACTTGTCACGAAATTGCAATTGAGTCCTAAAACTTGCAAAAAGTATAATCAGGTCCTAAAACTTGTCAAGTTGGTTCGATCGAGTCTTAAAGTTAGCACCGTTAAACTAGGCTAACGGAAAATGCTCACGTGTATTATTTTATTATTTTTTTGAGACTCGTGGGAATGATGTGGTATTTAACAAGCGCCACATCAGGAAAAAATTTAAAACTATAAATTAAATTAGATAAAAATGCTAAAAGTTAAAAAAAAAAAAAAGGGGTGAAGAGGCACAACCGGCAGCTGTGGCCAAGCCCTCGCCGTCGCCGGTGGCCGCCGCCACATCAAAAGGAGAAAAACTGAGGCTCTGTTTGCTTTGTGGAAAATGTTTTCCTCATTTTCCGGTATTTAGTTCACTTAGGAAAATGAGTAAATGGAAAATATTTTCCTAATACACGGAAAACCTATACTTAAATTAAGAAATATGATTTCACTTTAAAAATTCGAAAATCACTTTTCAAAATATGACTAGATATTGGCGCTTGGACATTAAACTCTACGCTTGGGCACGGAAACCCTAAGCTTAGTTTCCAAGTTCCCGACGTCCAGGACTAGGTCTTTGCCTTTGGTGCCTTGGTGCGGGTCCATCGAGGCCGAGCCTGAGACCTCGATGCTTATGCCCAGATCTCCTACGCTCGCGCTTGGGTCCATCCAGGCTAAGCCCAAGTCCTCAGTGCCCATGCCCGAGTCCATCGAGGATGAGCCCGAAGCCTCGGTGCCGGTGCCCAATGCCCCAGTACCTAGGCCTAGGTCTACAAAGGCTGTGCCCATGTCCATCAAGGCCGGGCCTAGGACTCAGGTGCCCATGCCTCGATCCCTAGAGTCCATATCGGGGTCCATTGAGGTCGGACCCAGGACTCTAGTGCCCGTATCCTATTCCCCGGCTGCCTATACGCAAGTTACTAGTGCCTGAATAATGTATTTCTATTTAGAAAAATCAAATCAGATTTTCCATTCCAAATGACATAAAATATTTTCCAGTTCATTTTCAGATTTCAATCAAATGCTAAAAATTATTGTCATTTTCTGAAGAAAAAACTTCCTGAAAAATATTTTCCAGAAAATGTCACGTTTTCCACGAAACAAGCAGAGACTGAATAATTCAAAGTTGTGTGAAAATATTTCGACGAGAAAAATCCGAGTGTTTCTAACCTTTATCCATTAGGTCTCTCTAAATGATGTGGCGGTATATAAGATGGTAACTTCAAATCTCCTAAATGAGTATGGTATAGAAACCATGGCTGAGTATTTAATTTGTTTTTGCGTACATGAACTCTGATGAGGATATCAATCATGGTATTTCATACCATGTTAGGTAAACGACTAGTTCATAAATACAAAAAGAAGTTTATAGCAAGATAGTTTAAATCAATTAACAAGATAATCCAAACAAGAGTGAAAGAAGAAGACAGCTAAACATGAATCGACCTAGTAATAAAGGACCCTTTCTGATTTTACCACGATTCGATTCTCACAGAGCATCCCAACTATCTTCTAATTAGACTGCACTGACGGTGACATTGGTTGAAGGAAACAAGGATTTAATATGATATTCTTTACAAAATTTCTAGCTAATAATATAATGATTAGGAGAGAAATTGATGAGAAAGATCCTTCCATGACTTGGTTGGTTTCCTAATGCGGGGATGCGATTTTGGACTTGACAATCATTGGAGATTGATTCTCACCTTTAGCAACCAGGCTTGGATACTATGAAGCACCGATGCTCCTTAAAGGTTATTTTTACAAGAACAATAGCTAATCTTCAAATCAAACATATGCAATTAAGCTCCACTAAAATGAATTTCCAAAGAAAATCCACCGCTAAGAGTCTAAAACGATAATCAATTGGAAGAGAGCAATTTGAAACACGATATAACTATATACATTTCAAAAAAAGATCATTTAAGTGCGAAAAGAGGAATCCCACAATGTGATTATTGAGGTGTAAAGATTAAGAAATTTCAAAAAAAAATTTGAACTTTGATGCTCAAAGTCGACAAATCCTTCCTCATAGGTGCTTCTTCTTCCGAGCGCTCCTCCGGCCGCCGTAGCCCGCGGCGGCTACCCGGCTCTTCACTCTCTCGAACTCCGAAACCTCGCAAGGGATAGTGATCCCTCCTCCTCGGTGACTAAACCCAAACTCCTCCCCGGCTTCTCTCAACAAGTTCCCGAACATCGGGTGATTGAAGTCAACCACGGGCACTAGAACTCGGCGGAATTCGCCGCTTCTTCGACCCACGTACACGGCCAAGTGGCCCTTAGGCACCGCTGCCGGCGGTCCTTCCTCGACCAGGTCTTGACCCACGGGCATGTCGCCCGCCTCGATGGGCCTGCCCGAGCGCGAAAACCCGGCCCTCCTGCTTGTCAGGCGGCAGCACCAGGAGAGGAGCTCCGACACGGAGTCGGTCGCGCATGGCCCCGACGGTGACAGGCCGAGGCGGCAGTACTCCCGGGAGGGGCCTCGGGCCCGGCCCGCGACCCACCTGGAGACCCGGAAGAGGTGCTTCTTGAGGCCGAAGCCTCTTGTCGTCTTGTCGTCCCCCGTGACCATGTTCGACCAAACAAGAACCGTACCAAGTAATGCAGGGCCCGTTCTGATCACACCAAGCATCAAATATCTTTTTATCGGGCTGCACCGACAGTGACATTTTGGTCTAAGGAACCACAAGGTCTCATCGCATATTCTTCGCAAAATTTCTTAGCTAATAATATAAAAATTTGCACAGAAACTGCGCAGAGAATGCAGAGACAGGATGCACCATCGGTCAATACGAAGGATTGTCCAATTTTTGCTGCTGATTCCACAACACAATACATCGTCCCTGAGCTGCAACTTCGTGGCGTTCTATAATTTATAGATTTTGTCGGTCGATTGTGATTCGGGTTCTTGGATTTGGGTACCCGGAAATAGCGAGAGCGAAGGTTCGGGTCCTGGACCCGGTCGCTTCCTGGAAATTGCGTGCGTTATAGATTATGACTATTTCTATTTCCACAGAAATGAACAATTCCACCTCTTTTATTTTTTAGTTTTACCCCACTGAGAGATTTGATAAGGTTAATATCACGGAAAATCCCAAACTGGTATACACGTGATAATTTTACCAAAAACTAATTTTTTGACCACCAAAAACCCAAAAACTGATATACCTGTGACAAATTTACCCCAAATTAAAAACCCCAAATTAGTACATTTGTGACAAATTTACCCTATATGAATTTCCATTAAATTGGATTAATACCATAAAAAATCACAAACTGATACACCTGTGACAAACGGAGGGTAAAACATAAAACTGGTACATCAGTCAACTGCCGCGTTGCATTTAACAAAGCAATTTGACTGTAAAATTTAACAGAAACAAACTAAGGGTAAATTTATCACATGTATACCAGTTTGAGATTTTTGGTGGTTAAAAAATTAGTTTGGAATTCGTACTGATTTTGGCTTCAATTTTTCGGTATACCAATTCGTACTGATTTTGGCTTCAATTTTTCGGTGAACTTTCCAACCCACTAAATACTCGGTGCCACGAAATCGAGAGGTTGTGAAATTTGAAAGAGCTTGAATTTCGGCATAGAGATTTCGATTCCCGTGTACGCGGTGGACAACTGTGCCTACATACGTAAGGTAACGTGCGTTCATAAGAAATTTAGGCTCCGTTCGTTTGCGGAAAATATTCTCCCGGAAAATATTTTCCGGTGTTCGGGGGGCAGAAAACGTTTTCCGTGGGAAAATATTTTCCTTCCCCCCTCACAAAATAGCCTAAGGGTGTGCATGAATACCATTCTGTGCCCGGGCGCTATTTCTGAACAGAAATGATTTTTTTTTATTCTGTGCCCGAAAACAATTTCTGAGTATTTGAAGGCGTTTGATAAATGTCCAAAATTTCTATTCCTAGAGTAGAAAAGAACAGAAATGCGTTTGGTAACTACACAAAATTTCTGTTCCCAAATAATATTTTAATAATATTTTGAATTGTTAAAATTTTTTTTTTCTTTTTACTTTCTTCTTTGGCCATGGCCGGTCGCCGATCGCCGGTCGCCGGCGACCGGCCACAGCCTAGGGCCGGCGAGGGCTGGACCCTCGCCGCCAGGCGAGGCGGCCTCGCCCGGGCGAGGCTCGGCTCGGGCGAGGCCGAGCCCCGCTCGAGGCCGACCTCGCCGTCGCGACCGACGGCGAGGCTCGGCCTCGCTCGATCCGGGCGAGGCCGCCTCGCCCGGGCGGCGAGGGTCCAACCCTCGCCCTCGCCGGCGAGGGCGACCCTCGCCTCCGCCGGCGGCCGGCGAGGGCCGTGACGCCCTCGCCGGCCCTGGGCTATGGCCGGTCGCCGGTCGCCGGCGGCCGGCTCGGCCAAGAACAACACCACAAAATAAGAAAAGAAAAAAAAGAAAAAGAAGAAAAAAAACTGATTCTCAAAATTGTGCCGAGAAACAAGAAGCAACTTTTTTTTACTTCTTGTTTCTCTTCCAAAACCGTTTCTCGGCACAAATTTTTGCAAAAATGTGCCGAGGAACAAAAAGTTTACCAAACGCATTTCTGTTCCCAAACTATTTCTGGGAACAAAAGAACAGAAATTTTCACTATTTGGCACGTTACCAAACGAGCCCTAAGTCTATGGAAAATGACTTCCGCTTCTTCAAAAGCGGAAATCATTTTCCGAAACTTCTTCTTCTTCTTCTTCACTAAGGTCGCCGGCCGCCGCCATAGGACACCGCCGGCAGCATGCCCCGCCGGGCGCCGCCGCCGGGCCGCCCGCCCGGTCGCCGACGCCGCCGCGGGCGCCGCCGGGCACGCCGCCGCCCGGGCGCCGCCGGACGGACGCCCGGGCGCCCCGGACGTCGCCGCCGCAGACGCCGCCCGGTCGCCCGGACCGCCGCCGGGCCGTCGCCGCCGGTCGCCCGCCACCGCCGCCGGTCGCCGGACGTTGGCCGTCGGCCGCCGACGAAAAATATTTTCCGAAACTTTTTCATATTGGTCGCCGAACACCGGAAAATTATGTTCCGGAAAATTATTTTCCAGGAAAATGACTTCCGGAAAAATATTTTCCAGAAGGAGAATATTTTCCGCCAAACGAACGGAGCCTTAAGATGTAATATAGCCCTTCAAAGCTCGAGCTTGATATTATTGACCGATCGAGTCCCGATGAACTCTTACGAGGGTTAGAGATGAGGTCGGTTAAAGCCGACGATACATCTCGAGTTCGACATCGGCAATACTCGAGCCGAGCAGCCCGGAGGCTCGCAAGGCTTGGTTCGAGCGGGTGATTCGAAAACGAGTAGGCCCGAGTATCTAATCGAGTCGAGCTCGAGTTGTGCTTAATAGTACTAAACAGCTCGGAGCTCCAATTCTGGGAATTGCTCCTAATTCAACCGCGCTCCCACTTTAGAAGGGAGGGCTTTACGGAGAGAGAGAGAGGGAGAGGGAGCGCACGGAAGCGGGCTTTCGACTTGCGAGCCCAAGGCCTGACCCGGCCCAATAAAGGCCCGACCCGGCCCAATAAAGGCCCAAATAGTGACCCGACCCGATAAAGGCCCATCTCTCCCCTCTCTCTCTCGCGCTGGCCTGCAACGAATCGAAGAAGGCGAGGGAGAGAAATGAACCAACGGAGTACAGAGAGGAAGTGAAGATCCGCGTGTTTTGACCGGCCGTCCGAGCGTACGCCGGGGGCGGAAGCGAGACGGCGGAGTTGAACAGCCGCGCCCGGTGATCGCCGCAGCCGCCGCCGCCGTAGGCGCCGTCGCGGTGTCCCGCGGGAGGACGGGGGGGAGGGAGCGCCGATCGGGGGCGAGCTTGAGCTCCGCGTTGTCCGGGAAGGGATCCGGAGCCCGGAGGTCCCGATGGTGGGCGATTCGAGCCTGGAGTTGCAGGAGTCCGGCTGGGAGGAGCTGAGGAAGGAGGCGAGGAAGATCGAGGGCGATCTCGACGTCAAGCTCAATTCCTACGCGAAGCTCGGGGCGAGGTTCTCGCAAGGAGGTTGCTTTTCGATCTCTCTTCAACTGTTTGCGGATGCGTTGCGACGGCGATCGTTTTCCTCTTTTCCTTGTGCGTTTTTTTTTTTTTTGCTTTTTGGTGGATTTTCGGTAGCTCCGCAACTTCGGAATTGGCGGTTGCTAGATTAGGATCGGTGTGTGGGGTTCTAGGCCGTTAGCGTTGCGGAAACTTGAAGGAGCTGAAGCTGGGCGCGCCTGTTGTCGATCTGAGTGAAGTTGCTTTTTGTGTAGAGTTTATGTTTGGTGCTGATTGTAATAGTTCGAACGGCGCTGCGTAGCGTACTCATCGAAGCAAGTTGCGGTTTTTCTAGTTGCATGACGAAAGATTGAGAAAGAAACAAAGGGAGAGGGAGGTGACGCAAACGTGGATTGGTAGGGCAGCAGCAATGTGGCTAGTTATCTGGACCGTGGCAATTGCCGGGTTTTCTCACGGGTTGCCAAACGACAGATGGGTTGCTGCCTGGGCAAGTTAGAATCCTTGGAAGGAGTAATTTCACCTTAGGGAAATTTCGGCATGGATATTATCCAGACGCAATGCGTCGAACTGAATTGGAAAACAGCTCGACAAATTGGTGTTCTTGATTGCTGGCTAGCTATGCGCATCTTTTAAGATGTCTGTTGGATTCAAATACTTTCAAAGTCCTCTTTGGTCCTCCGTCTGACTTAGGCAAGAAAGGCTACATTTCAGCTTTCATAGTTCTCCCTGTTTCTGTCTCAAAGTACAAGAATGGGTCTCAACTGTTCTTCGGCTCGGTATTTTGTGTTTGAAGTGCTGTTTTGAAATTGTACTTGTTTGCTTTTTGTAGTTTAGGATTTAAAAAACACTGCTACAGGTCCTATGTGTTGTACTGCAGTTATGTACAGTGAATTCCCTCTTTAGCATCTTCCTTGGTAGCTTATTCCTCCTAGATGGTCCTGTCTTAAAATGACAAGTGAAAAGATCTGCAAATCAAGTATAACACATTCTAGGGAACAGGTTTATTTGTCATTCCCATTACAATTATTGATACAATTGGTTATGAATGTCTTCTATTTGTCAATTGTGTACTTTGTCTAGGCTGTTTCACCTAATCAGTATGGGGTTGCTTACATTTTATTATGACTATGCCGCCTTTCTCGAAGTCCAACAAGCCATATTTATATGCTCCTATACCAAACATTTAAGCTACAATTCAGTTAAAGGATGATGTTACGTCTATGATAATTGTATTCCTCACATATTTGTAATGCCGAATGATAACATTGTATTTGCTGAACTTTATTCATGTTTTTCTATATCTTCTTTTCTGTTCTTTGCTTCCTAGGTCTTCTTTTAGATGCAAGTTATTGGTAGCATTGCCAAATTCTTAATAAATACTGCTTCAATTCTTAGTTATCTCTGATATTGAGTTGTTCAGGTTATGTAGACACCGGGTCACCGACTGTTGGGTCCAGCAGGTCATGGAAGTCAATGGAAATGGAGATCCAGTCGTTGCTTGAGAAACTATTAGACACAAATGAGGCTATGAGTAGATGTGCTGCATCTGCTACTCCCACTACCTCAGTGACTCAAAAGTTGGCAAGACATAGAGACATCCTTCATGAGTTTACCCAGGTTTCCTTTGTTTTATGCTCTTCCAATTCCAACGTTTCTGAAAATATACTATATCATCACATTGGTGAGCATTACGTGCCATAAGAGATGTGATTAGTGTGATTAAGATATACTACAAACTTGGGCCAGGTGGTAGACCTTATTGCTTTCTGACAGTAACATCCAACTTGGATTGCTCCCTGATTTACGACTTAAACGCCTCCTTCTCAATGCCATTGGGTGGAAAAAGATGGATTGCCCAAGGGCCTGGGCTTTGTTGGCTTGGTTCTGACTTCTTGATCTCATTAACTTGATCAAGTAGTTCATGGGATCTCATTCTCTTACTTTTTATTTGCTTATGTGGCTGGTCAAAAAATGATTCTTGGTAGTTGCATTAATGTTGGATAAAAACCGAATATGCTCCATGTTTTAAGACAGTATTGACAATTTATAGGCTAGAGTTCTCTGTAAAGATTGAAATTATCGGAGGGTGGCCATCTGTTTCATGCATAGAGGTTTGAGTTGCAAAGTCTGAATTTGCTGAACTTCTCTAGCATTCTTTCAACATAGAAAAATGCATCTTTAGGCCTTTCTTTTCTTGGTTATTTCATCCATGCAGTTGTGGCTTGTCATCCAGGTGACGTATTTGGATTCTTGATCGATTAGATTACTACAAAAGTGCCTAGTTAAAATTCTGCCACCTGACAAATTGTCATTCATGTTAATTTCTCCCGATGGAAACAATTTTTTTGTGTGTACATGTCTCCTATTTTTGAAACAAACAAAAGCATTATCAGGTTCTTCCTCCTTGCTATAAAAACATTTTTAGGTGTAAGCTGCTCCGTAAGTTGGATTTGTCACTTGTTGAAGTAATAAAAAAACATATATGCTGCTGTGTAATAAATATCTCATTAACCAAGTAATATGACCTGTCCAACTGGATATTTCTGTTTGTTAGGAGTTCAGACGAATCAAGGGAAACATCAGCTCAATGAGGGAACATGCAGAACTTCTCAGTTCTGTGAGGGATGATATCAGTGAGTATAAGGTGAGCATCTATAAGATCCTACTTTACTTACATCTGATAATGCTTGGTTTTCTTTTTTCTTTTTCTGTTTTTGGGACCTTAGACCTCTCTAATTTGCTTCCTTGCAGGCTTCTGGGAGTATGTCACCAAGAGTGCAATTACTAAGAGAAAGAGCTTCAATTCATGGAAGCATATCCCATGTAAGTCTGGTTGTATCTCTTTTCTCGTAGTATATATGTTCAGAAAAGGATGTTCCTGTATGTGTGCCAATGAAAGTGGTATTTTCTCGTTTATTTACTCAAGATGGGATGAGATAAGATGATAGCCAGTAAACAATAAGATTTGTGAATTTATGTACTAAGTGATGATTGATTTTGAAAGGCAGCAATGTAACCAAATTTACTCAGTTTGATTACAGATTCATAATGAAAAGGAAGATCAAAATTTTAAGAGTCTTAAAAGTATATTGAAAGCCTCTAAAGTGAAAGTTTGCGCCACATAATCTAAAATGGGGATGAGTAACTAGACAACTATACAATCTATTGGAACAATTGTCTGGTTTATACAGATTCTATTTGATGCAGTAATACGAAAAGCTTTGCCTGCGGAATTTACCATAGGCTCCTCCCATAAAATCTGCAACTCTGCCTGAAGGATGAATGCACATATGATAGTCTTTATTTGTTTGAGATGCTTTGAGAATACTTTGAACTACATATTTGTCTTTCTGTTTGTTGTACTCCTATAAGAGATTTGTTTAACCATTTGTCCATTTATCGCTTTCAAGTTTCCCCTCCTTGACCTTTGAGGATACTGGGTTTTGGCAGTTGCTTTTCATTTGAGGGAATTATCATGAGGATGCAGCTAGTGTGCACCATGTTGTGTGTTCTCCCTTTTTTCACTTGCACATACGAATGCTTGTTGATATGTATGGATATAGACTGTTCATGGCAGACCAATATATCCTCGTGTTGGACTGCCAACCTGGAAGAAGTCATCATGATCCCTTCTTCCCTCCTTCCCTCAGATGAGCAAATTTGTCTTTCTCTTTTCGTTTTTGTGGTGACTGATCGTTTCATAGTATCATATATTCTTTCGGAGCAGTTCAATATCTTACTGGTAAATTGTTGTTTACGTGCATGCAATTATGAATGTACTTAAAGATGCATAAACTTGCTTGAATGTATCTCTACATGCATACTACGTGTGTTTCATCTGTATGATCGTACTGATTTTCGGTTTCTAGATAGAGAAGAATCAAATTTGAGAGGGACCTGATAAAGGAATAGTCTCATGTTCTTTCCTTCAGGATTATCACCTTGAGTCTTGTTTAAATGATTTTAAGTTTTCCCAATGTGCTGACGGTTGTGTAATGTACCCTCTTGATTATAGTTTATATTTGTTTGCGCAGATAGATGATGTGATTAGCCAAGCTCAAACAACAAGAGCAGCTCTAGGCTCTCAGAGGGCTCTCTTTGGGGATGTTCAAGGGAAAGTGAAACTCTTAAGCGACAAGTTCCCTGTAATTCGAGGCATCCTAGGTACTTGGATAACCATCACCGAAACTTTTCTTCCCTGTTTTCATTGTGATTATTTATTAAGCTTATAAGTGGTTAATGCAGGCTCAATAAGAAGGAAGCGATCGAGAGACACTCTTATTCTCTCTGCCGTGATTGCTGCCTGTACATTGTTCCTTATAATCTATTGGCTCTCAAAATAGTTGGAAAGTGATATCGCAGAAAAATCGGAAGTTATCTGCTATTTTAGGAATTTTGCTTCTGTAATTTGCTCGAGCGAATTCTTTCTTTTGGACCTTGTGATACACGGTTGTGATTTTCTGATGTTAGTAAAGATTATTCTTGCATAAAAATGACCATCTATCCAGCATCATCGAGATGGTTGGGATTTCGTTACCGTGGCCCACGGGAAACTTAGGCTTCACTTACGAACAAACAAGAGCGAAATAGCGAAGCAGCACCGGCTTTCTAACTATTTGTTAGGAGAGTTGGCAGAGTAGAATGGTGGTTTCTTGTCATGTGTCCATGAATTAACTACCCGAATGCTCACGGCTCCGATCTTTACTAGCCATGTTGAATCTGCATTTACCTTGTATTTACCCGGCTGACAGGTACAATGACAGTTCATCGAGCAACATCCTTTTCTTTGCGCTGCTCTGTTATTCCCGTATGATGCATGTGACTTCTATGTGTTTTGCCTGGTCCAACGTTTCCATGGGTTCCACAACTTAATGTATGGGTCATTCTTCTCTGCCTCTTGTGGTCCAAAAATACTTTCTTGAACTCGGTTACGAAGGTTTTTGCGGTATCTGCTCACAAGGAGGTATTTTCGCCTCTTTACGATTTCAGACTTTCGGTTATGAGCTATGACGTTCATGCAATGTCTCGTTTTGCATGTCCTCCGCCTTACCCGTTCCATCCTAGGGATAAAGGTCATGCGCTGGATCACACCAATCGAAATGCCGAGCGAGTCTTGTCGTACAAACTCGATAGCTGATTTTGTAAACGTGACAGTCTCGAACTTTGTTGCCGTTCCATCGTAAGATGAGAGAAGCTTTGATGTGCTATGACATTCGGATATCGTCGCGACTTTCACTTGGTAGTCGAGCATTGAGCAGGAAGCGGTAAGCATCATCGGCAGTGTAGGTCGATCCCTTTCACAACGTGAGGCTTTCCGCGTTCTCGATTTCTTGCTTAGGACTAGCAACTCGTCTTGAAGATAGATTCTTGCTTAGGACTAGTCTGTGATTTACTGTGAAGAAATGTCGAACTCGCCTCTTCGTATATCTTCAATCCACTTATATGGCTCGCATCTTTCTAAGTTTTGTAACTGCTCTTTGTTTTCTTTCTTCTTATTTTATAATATTACTTAAACATTACCCTTAAATAGTTGTTTTTTTTTTCAATTTTATCTTGTATTTCAAGAAAAGAAAATTAAAATTTACACTCTAGCATAGATACACCATATCTATTTTCTTATAACCTCATTTTAGGTATTTCCTTTCATATTTGATTTGGTTCTCATGGATAATTTTGTAAATCTACGAATTGATATAGACAGTCAAAGAAACTATGCGAAAAATGAGGAGATGATTAATGTGTTGTCCTTCTATTTCGGTGATAACGATTTTTGGTTTTTCGAAAAAGGTTTTGGATACGTCAATTTAAAATATTTTATATCGAATATTCATAATTAAGTCCAACGACAATTGTTAATTCCTTTTTGTTTTTCGATTTTCATTTTCAGTATGAAGGGAAAGAAAAAGAGCTTAAATCTTCCTTTACATCGGTTTTCTTAAACTTCTTTTATCCACTCCATGAAAAAAAGAAACTGATCTCTTTTTTCTATCTATATATATCTTTTTAATGAATGAGGTTAGGTTTTAACTCAAAGATGGATTATTTATGATGATAAATGCAATCTTTAATAGGACTTTATTTGTATAGTGATATCTATTTTTAGACAATATATAAGATTGTTGAATATATCCTCTCAAGTTACATAAAGATGCAATGTCAATTCAGTACTAAGAACATTTTTTCTGTCTAATATTTAGAAACTCGTAAGTAATAAACAAATAAAACTTTTGCATTCATCCAATAAAAAGAAAATGAAGGGTATTAAATTGAATTCTTTCTAAGACTTTTTTTAGAAACTAATGTAACAACCGAACAAATGACTATTCATGATTCCACAATTGAGTCAATTATATGTCAATTTTGAACTGAGGAATATTATGGTAAAACATTGTTTCGACTTCATTCGAAACGAAGTGAAAGAAAGCAACGTGCGAATCGAATGACATGATCAATCGTGGATTCTTACACCCCCCGTTTTTTTCATATAGAAATGAAGGTACTCTTGACTCGAAATCCTTTGTTTTGCTTCACTAGAACCTTCATTGTTTTCTTGGGTTGTAGTGTAAAGAGTTTGTGATGTAGCTCGAGTAGAAAGTATCGATGGCAAGGATCTAAGATTAGTTCCAATTAATAAGTTGGAAAAACTTCGCAAGTGTAGTCTATTTATCTATGTTTGATTTAGAAATCGAAAGGATCTAACCAAATCGAAATGAACCAATTTGATATCTGGCTCAATTATGATTATATCTAGTTGTATTGTAAATGACATAATCAAATTTTTAACTATTCGAAGAACTTTCTTCGTTATTAGTGAGACAAGTAAATTATATTATCTTCCAGATATTGATCAACGTAAATTGTGTCATTGTAAATGGAAAAAATGATTTTCACAAAGTTCGAAATAAAATCCAAAAGATAAAATGCTAAAATTTGAGATACACAGAAAAAAACTATTAAGAACAACGTTTTTTCTTTTAGATAATCAATTTTATCGTGAATAATCTCTCAATAATTTAGTTGTTAGGAACACAATTAAAAGGGGAAAATTGTCAAAAAGTCCTATACTTATTATACTTTTACTAACAACTAATAAGGTTTAGTCCTAAACTATTAAGCCCTCACCTGCGGCCAGCGAGGGCCACGACCCTCGCCCGCGATCGGCGAGGGCTTCCCGGCCATCGATGGCCTCGCGGCCCTCGCCTAGAAACCAGCGAGGGTTGGCTAGGCCTCGCTTGTGATTGGCGAGGGCCGCTAGCCAGCAAGGGTTGGCTAGTGGCTCTTGCCGGTCTTGGAAGAAGAAAAAGATAGAGAAAGAAAGAAAGAAATAATAATTATAAAATTCCAAAAATTATTAAAATATCATTAAAAAAATTTCGTGTCGACACTGATCATCCTACACGTGCCGGCCGTCTGGCGTCCACGTTAGTGATTTTCGACTAAAATTAGCCGGATGAACTCAATTGGCAAAACGTGAAAAGATTCAAGATTCAATTGAGTTTAGGACCGAGTCAGCAAAAGTGCAACAGGTTTACGACTTTTTGGACGATTTTTTCCGATTAAAAGCTAGGACAGGAATCTTCACACTCCTTATTTTGTTCGTTAATTTTATTTTTGCCCTTTTTTCTTGTCGACATGCGAAAATATGAAAACAAGACTCAAAAGAAAAACAAAATTCAAATAATTTAACAATTGTTAAAAAAAAAAATGTGTACAATGTTGTCAATGGGGACAGCAAAGAAGTTTGTAATAAAATCAGGGTCCCACGTGGTACGGCCAACTGACGTTGATGCTTCATGGGAGGAGGAGGAGGAGGGAACAAGGCGGGCAGGGGGGCCCCTCGCCTGAGCTGCTCCGACGCTGATATGGCTGTCGCGAAAACAAAAGGGTGTTTTGGAATCGCTTTGGTCCCCCAAACGACAGCAAAATGGCTTATCTCCTTCACCTCCGAATTGATGATGTCCATCCCTCCTCTCAAGTTGACTCCTCCTTTGACATGACGTGACTCCTTTTGGTTCTCATTGCGAATTTAACTCGCGAGAAAAGAAAGGAAGGAAGACCACAGACGCCCGTTTGATTTGGGGGCCACCGGCGCTTTACTCCCATCTTTAAGCAAAAGGCATCAAGGACGCAAGGAATCAAATGTAGAGCGGACGGTTGACTTACGCTCGTGGAACGACGAGCGAGAGAAGGAGGGACGAGTTGTGAAACGATCCTTAGGTGGCGCGGATGGCTTGAACGCAGCCGGAGCGTGATCGCTAGAAGCACCCGCATCAGGGTTAAGTGCAAGACAAGTCTGGAAATAGAGGTGCGGGAGTAGGGATAGGTGTAGCGTCTTTCAGGAAACAGATCCAAAGAAGGATTTGCGAAGAAGATGCGGCAGAGGTCGATTCGAAAGTGGCTGATGAGGAAAATGTCTTGTGCTCTTGCGCTAAACGCCGCGCCCTGGAAAACAACATAGCAGCGGATGAGGATCTAACTTGGTGCCTTCAAGAGGAAGAAGATGAATAAACAAGCACCGGAAAAGCCTCAAAGAAGGTTATAACCGGGAACACTGCCATGTAAGTGCTCATACAATGATATGTTGCCTACATAGGGTGAAGAGGTATGGTCGATTGTGTACATTACAATGTGACAATTTTCACCCTTAAATTGTTTTGGACAAAGAAAAGATGAGAAAGAGTACACAGCGTTCGAAATATGCCTATGCCTACGCTTTAGTTGATCGCTTTTGTAGAGATGTTCCTGGATAACAACACTGAACGACGAGAGCACACTAAAAGTGGGGAAAATTGTTCACAAGGTCCTAAATCTATTGCGCTTTTGCCAATTCAGTCATAAACCTTTCAACTTTGCCAATTGAGTCCTAAACCTTTTCATTCCTTGCCAATTGAGTCTATCCGGCCAATTTTGATCGGAAATCGCTGACGTGGATGCCGGACGGCCACATGGCGCTGACGTGGACATTTTAAAATAATATTTTAATATTTTATGATTTTTTTATGTGTTTTTTTTCCTTTTCTCTCTTTTTTTTATGGTTTTGAAATTAGGGCCGGTGAGGGTGGTTGGCCGACCCTTGCCGGCTCTGGGCGAGGGCTGCGATGCCCTCACTTTGGCCGGTGAGGGCCGTGACGCCCTCGCCCAGAGCCGGCGAGGGCCGCCAAGCCCTCACCTGGCTAGATCTGGCGAGGGCATCACGACCCTCGCTGAATCTGGGCGAGGAACACGACGCCCTCGCCCGTGGCCGGCGAGGGTCGGCCGGCCACCCTCGCCAGCCCTAATTTTAGAACTAGAAAAAAAAAAGAGAAAAGGAAAAAATAAGAAAAAAGATATAAAAAATCATAAAAATATTATTTTAAAATGTCCTCGTCATTGCCGCGTGGCCTTTAGGTGTCCACGTCAGCGATTTGCGGCCAAAATTAGCCGGATGGACTCAATTGACAAGAAATGAAAATGTTTAGGACTCAATTGGCAAAGTTGAAAGGTTTAGGACTGA